TGTGCAAGGCACTTTTTTGCATGGATGAAAAAAAATTATCAAGTGAATAATTGATTCCTTTACAAATCATTTCGGCAAAATATGCATACTTTATAACAAGAGAACTCAACATGAAATAAAAAATTGATCTGAGTTTTGAAATTTAGATAGGCTAATTCTATGAAAATTCTAAAATATGCATACTTTATAAAAATATGTTTAGATTGGCTAATTAGATTTTCATAATCATGAACAAAGAAAGGCAACTCAATAATTGTAACATATAATGAAAATAGCTTTATTACATAAAAGATAAAAATAAAAATAGTAAATAACAAAAGAAAAAAATTGTCAAGAAAATTGTAGTGGTATTACATTTTGAAACCAGGAAATGTGAAAGAGTTTTATGATGACAATAGTTTTGATGAAGCTCTAGAATTTTATTCTCTTACCCAGTTTTACATGACATGAATATAATCAACTCATTCTTTTATTACTACTTATTTGGCTAACATCTATGTCTGATCTTATGATCGTGAAGATTACATCATCTTGATAGAGTTTATTTTGTGTGACTTCTAATGCTAACATGATTATAAAAATTCTCCAATGAGCTAATTCTATTACTACTATTATAATACATGAAGTAGTATCTTCATGGTTTAAGTCTGAATTTTGACATATTTTAAAGATTTTATTATTTCTTCTATACACCATATTTGTATAAATATTTGTCTCTCTTACATTATATTGAATAATATTATTAAACATCCTCCCAACTTTAATAAGCACAATTTTTGTTATTATTTATTTCATGAATGATAAAGGTGATTCTCTGATTTTATTAATTTTATGTGGATTTGAATAAATATTAAAATAATAAATTAAACATATTTTAAGCACTTGACTTTTTGCTAGTTCAACCAAATAACTGCTAAATATTGAATGGCACCTTGTTTTGAAACACAATTAGAAGTTCTGTTCAGCAAGAAAACTGAGTAGTTGTAGTATACCATATTTGAGTTATTGCTAGTTTTACTTCTATTCAATATTTCACTTACGTCAAAACAAAGAATAATTCAGTCACAATCTGTTAACAGAGTTTCAATTATGAAAGGCCTAGGCCTAGATATGTACCGCGCGTCCGTATAGCATCCAATATACCTATAAGATAATCAGCCAATTATGCATGTTATATTAATGAGAATATAGGACAATTTTAATACACATGATGTTAATGATACGTCTCTTCCATTTCCAGTCTTCTATGTTAGTTATTGAAGGAACTGTATATCTGAACCAGTGGTTTGTTTTTACATTGGGTTGCACTATAAACAAACCCTACATAGAGATTGTTGAGTGAGCTGATTGATATGTTTATACATAATCCTTGATACTTTATTTTTTAGTAGTGGTGTTTGCCTTATAATAATTAGGTCCCTCGCAGTGGACAATTGGGCAACATTTTTTAATGATGGCAAGGTTTTGTTCATGAAGGCATCAGCTTCAATTAATCTCCACTAATACTGGATTCATGAGAAAACAGCATACAACAGAAGAAGAAACAGGAATTCGGGAAGAGGAAGATTCAAGAGTAATCCTGGAGTATATTACTAGCTACATCTTTTCCACTATTTTGTAATACATAGCTATAGATATATATATAATAGAATTAGAAAGTTTTGGATACATATCTTTCCATAACCGAATCAGTTCTGATATGGTTGAGCTTCTCCTTTGGGGACCCCCTGGCTTGATGACTGTCAAGTGCGGCCTACTGCTGAGAAGACCCTCCTGTGAGTTGATGGGTCAAGGAACAACTGTCAGCTTGTTGCGAAGTTGATGAAATGTACGCTTGGAAGGGCTTTGGTAAGAATGTCAGCCGGTTGGTCTTGGGAGCGAAACATGTTGGATTGGGTGGCTGTTGGGCTTGGTGGAGAAGATTTAATTTCCAAATTGGTTTCAGATTCCCAGTTTTCATTCGAGTGATCATGGGGTGGGTAGGTGCAGTTCGGGTAGGTGATGGTGGTGTGGTAGACTTGGTCGAAGGATTAAGTGGCGCATTGCAGATGTTGGGAGGTGGAGGAGATAGTGTGGAGTATTGTTCAACTGCAGGTTGCAAGAGTGTTGTGGGTTGTAGAAAGTAGGATGGAATGTGGGTGGAATTGGATGAATTATTTGGTTGGAGTGAGGGTGAGGTTTGAAATAAGGGAAAGCTGTATTCATCAAATACCATATGTCTTGATATGATGATTTTATTAGCTAACCTTTGTGTTGTAGGGAATAACCAAGAAAAATGTATTGGAGTGATCGTGGTTTAAACTTGTGTTTGGTTTGAATATGTTTCTGCAGTCTTTGCTGAAGATAACGAAGGGCATATATGGTTCCCACTCTGCTACTTTGTATCATTAAAAGGTTAGTTTCAAATGATCATTATTGAGGCAACTTGCATTCGTAAAGAAACTGATGTTTAGAATATGTTCGGTAGTTCTTATAATTTTATTTTTAATGATTTTCAGCTTGTTTGGTAGTTCTTATAACTTTATTCTGCTGCTAACTCAAGATGCTATTATGAATTTTTCAACAAAAAGCTTCCTAATTTGGTTAATCATTCCTCTTCTGCTTTTACTAGAAAGTGTTACTTTCCACCAAGCAATATCCAGCCGGATTAAAAATCTGGCAATATTCATAATTGATTATTGCTACATTATCTCTCAGATATTCATATTTAAAGCAACATGATTGTTTGATTGGATGATTCAATTAAATTTGAGAACCTTATGATATACTTGTGCTTGTGACAACTTTCTTGGTTGGCCCCCTCAAATTCTTAGGTAACATTAATTTAAATGCTAATTTCTAAGGGAAAAATGTAAAATAATCTGTATAATTTGGTGCTTTAATTCAGATTCAGCGTGATAACAACTTGATGTCATTCTTCACTTGGATTTTTTTTTATTATGTATAATGTTTGGCATCCATCATGGCTACAGTGACATGTTAAAGCAACCTGAAATCATGTTGGGACTTAGGTATAAAGTGGCCAGATATCACATCACGCATGCGCACGGATTTTATCAAATATATACTTTTTTTTTCAGTGATAATCCGAGCGTCTGAGCATAACAGATATTTGTTTCATGAAAAAGATAGCAGATATCACCACGCATGCGCATGAATCTTATCAAATATGCACATTTTATTTTTTTTTCAGTGATTAACCAGCATTTAATGTATATGATTCATGAAATTTTGAAAAAATTGATAGGGAAGCTTAGCCAAATAATAATCATAATAATACAAACAAGGCTATTATTAGTTATAGGGGGATAATATACATATTAAAAATTTCTTATTTATTTATATATCTAACTTCTGAATCATTTTATCTATTTTTATGCAAGTTTAGCATCCAAATCACATAAAAGCATAGGCATGAAAAAGTGAGTTTCTTTAAATAAGTTGATATTTGTGGTATTTTTTATGTGATTTAGAAATTTGATTGTCATAGAAATAATTATGTATATTTAGGTATTAAATTTGTAAATACATAAGATGTTTGTGGAAACCCTAGCCACCATAAATAGAAATATTATGCTCTTCAAAGAGTTATTTTTATCACATGTGCTTGAATGGTTCAATTAGACTTGCCAAAAGAAATTGTATTATTTTAGATATTTTCAATATATGCTGGTTTGGCTTTTGTTGCGGCTAATTCAAGAATGAAAAGTTTTCTTTGTATGAATTTTGCAGTAGCTGCCAATGTATGTGTGAGTTTAGGTTTACTCTCATTTGAATGTCTAATAGGTATCTGTCAAATTATCATGTGGTCAGCAGTCATCTATTAATCTTAGCTTTTCGGTTGAAATCACTTGATCATTGGCTTTTCAGACTGTAATCCTCCTTTAATTCCATCTCCCTAATTAATCATATTAATTCAATGGTTTAACTGAAACAAAGTTGATCATTATGTTTGTGGCTTGCATGGGTTTTAATATTGCAGTGCTAAATGGCTCTGCATCTTCAAAATCTAAAGTGGTCTATGTGCCACAATGTAAAACTCAAAAGAGAGATTATTTTTTTTCATAATTTTAATAATTTAATTTTTAAGGCTTAGACTTCAAAATACTTTGAGTCATATGTCCTATCTCATAGAAAAGAGCACCTCAATATCTGATTACGTACTCTCAAATCGAAATCATAGCCATTCCCAAAATCTAAGTACATCTAAACGCAAGCAAAGAGGAAGGCTCATTAATTTCCTCAACCAATACTCATATGAAACCTCCTCCTTAATCAATGAAATTGCCAAAATCCTCCCGATGACCCTAACCACTAAAATGATGTGAGAAGCTAAAGAGATCTCCAATTGCTTGTGAAAATACAAAGAGCAAGTGTCCAATGGATAACATTTTGTTTAGGAATTCTAGAAGAAACATTCTTTTAGCTACATGCAGTTGAAAAGAGGAAAAGATACAAATGAAGACGAAGGTATAACTCTTGAGGTAACCTAATCACATAATTCTTGGGATACAAGATATTCATATGATATATATGCCAGGTGGCATGAACTTTAAAGTGCATGCCAAACAAGGAAGTCCTAAGTCCTCCAATAATTGCAATGTGTAGAAAGTTATTATGGAAATTCAAGATTGAGTCTAGTTTTATCATTAATCCCCTTTGATTCAATATTATGGCAAAACAAGATATTTTTCATTTCACTTTTCTAGGCCAAGCATTTTAAGCTCCTAAGTCCTCTGAAGGGCTCAACACCATGCAATCTCATCCGGCCAAGTTGAGGCCTAAATCTAACAACAACAAGAAAACATTAAAGCAGATTTGTTGCATGCAAAGTTGATTTGATTAATATGCAAGTGCACCAAGCATAAAATTTTTGTTCTCCCAAAATAATTTTTTTATTTTTTATTAGAGCTTTTCCTCATGCCTTGGAACAAATAATGATTTGTAAAATAAATATGAGGGAAAATTTTAAGCCACCTGTTTGTTTTAAGAGACAATACCTGATAGCAATCTTCCTAGAATCACAAACAAGTATCTGCGTTCTCGAGTCGATGTAAGCCACAAAGAATGTCAGAACTATGTCCACAGCGAAGAAGAGATCCATAATGTTATCAACAATGCAAAGACCCCCCTTTGGTGTGGCTTCCATAAATGCAACCTCAAATGGGTAAACCCATGCAGAGTAAGCTACTAATATCACCATAAATGTCTCCCAGCACCTGCAATCATTGATTTACAGATCAAATTCTCCTCAACTTTCTTATTGTTCTATTGATTTCTCTTTGTTCAATTCAAAAATATTTTTATCATTCTGAACTCAAATGGTCTCCAAGTGTTTTTTGACATTTAACATAAAAACGACAGGAACTAGAGCAGAGTGGTGGTCTTCTTCTTACCTGTATCTTGAATCCAACGGTGAAATAATATTTTTGCATCGAGTTCCTGTGAAGCTTTGATTGTAGCCAGCAACACCAAGGGGAGGAAGCATGAGCTTGGAGAGACGTCGAAGGTTAAGTGATGACTGCTTATGCTTATATTCATGCCTCAACTTCTCATCTCCTTCCCCAGAGCTCAGTTCTGAATGCATTTCCATCTTAATTTGTAGAAAAATCTCTTCCAACTTATCTCAAAATAATCATCTGGAGCTTAGTTCTGAAAGCATTTCCATACCCTTCAGCTTATCTGCGACATAACATAATCATCTTCTGCTCTGAAGATAAGTGGAGGAAAGAAATGGAAGTGGATCTTATTTGTTATGGAGGAGATCAGTCTCAAATAATGTAGTGATGGTGGAGAACAAGTATGTGGCCATAACTTGTGCAGTCTGACTCAAATGGGTTGTAAGTACTAAGCAGCTTTTACTTCTTGTTTTTACTTAATTGTGACTGTTGAGCCGTATGGAGCAACCACTCAGATCAGATGTGATAGGATTTCTTTACGCAATTATATTCTTGTAAGAATATCTTGGTGTAGTATTTGGGCGAGTAATATGTTTTCTAAGAAGGATTTTTTCTGGTATAACTACAAATGTTCTGTGGCTGTTTTTATTGAAAAGGTAAACAATTTCTCATTTTACTAAAATGTCTTTGCAAAAAGTAAGCATGAAAGTAATATATGTATGGCACAAGGTTTTAATTGATTAACATGCTAGGAATAAGGTACAATAATTCACTGCTTTGCCAGGTGCTGTATTGGTGAAGGTGACTGGATGTGGGCCCTGATTTTGGAATTTAGCATTAATGAATGTGCCGGTAGGCATAAAGAGCAATTATTGAGGAAAAATTCAATTTCAATTTTGGGTCCTTTGCCAATAAATATGGTTATAACCCCTTTCAATCTTAATAAACAAATATATATATATATA